CCCCAAAACCCCAAAACCCCAAAACCCCGGTATCTTGAAATCTAGATAAAGCTTGAAATTTTTAAATATTAAATTTATTAATAGGTTTTATATCACCTTCTTTGTCTTAAGTCAATACTTAATTTAAAACAACCATTGCTTAATTGTTAACATTAAGATGGCCCTTCATTGTAAAAATTAGCAGTTTACTTATACTGTTATTATCTTTCACCAATATGATTTTCTTTCAGAATTGAGTTTGATGTTTTTGTCTAGTTACTCATTTGAGAGTTTAAACTATTCTAGTTTGCGACTTTTTGGCTATTAGTGATATTGCTTAAACCAGAATTTGAACTCTATCTTGATTTGTTTTAGCTCGATTTGCCCTAAGCTTTGCCTGCAATAGAGTTGTACAAGTTCTTCTTATTTTCAACTTTCTTTCTTTTGTGATTGATTATTTCCACTGCATCTTAGTACCTAACTTCTTTCTAGAGATTATTTCTTTGAGAAAATCTAGGTGTATTATTACCTCCATTATCACTGCTAGTCTTTGTTTGTTAAGTATTTATGTATTCTCCGTTCTTACTAATCTAGAATTCTTGAGTCTTTATCTGCGGCTAGAACTTCTGTGACTCCCTTTTACTATTTGTAACATTTGATAGTTTTTAATCGAAATCATTAATTTTAGCTAAGGAAGCTTATTTTGCTGTTCTTGGACTCACACCTTCAAGTGCAGCTATTTTAAATGACTTAACTTTATCTTCTTGACCATGATTTGGACTATAAGAGCTTATTCTAGCGTGGTGATATGGTCTCTTGCTTGAGAGCTCTTTTTCACTTTGAGGTTGGGACCTAATAGAAGATTTTTTATGATGACTAATTTGGGGTAGAATCTTGATCTTTGATTCATTTTAAATTCCTTAGAAAGACCTTATTTGTTGCAATTGATTGAAAGTTTAATCTGATTTGAGATTTCCTAGTAGATCTTTACCATATGAGTTGTCCATAATAAGATTTTTTATCTGAACATTCTAAGTCTTATTATGCTGAATCATTATCAAGGATCTATCAACTTTTTCACTTGACTAAGTAATCAATCTCATATGGTTGCTATTTCCAACAACTCTACTATTTGAATTTTTATTTTAAGAGCCAGCTCTGATGAAATTTCTTTGATTCTTAAACTTTTATGGTGTGAATTAATTGATTCTATCATGATCTAGCATAGATTATCTCTCACTATTTTTTAATGAAGTTCGATTTGTATTTGATCCTTGCCCTTATCCTAATCTAGACAGTGATTTCGAAGATTATCGTACTTAATCATCCGGAGGTTTTGCTATCATCATGGCTTTAATTGGACTTACACTGGTATCTATTATGTTTGAGCTACTTGTATTAGCTACTTTGAATATCTCTTTTGAGGGCATCTCTCTAATCTTTTTAATGTTCATAGATGAAATTTACTATTCATAGTAGTGAGCCATATCTGAATTTTCATCATTAACTGTGATATCATTAATAAATCTATTTGATCCTTTGTTTCCCATCGATTATATCGAATTTTCTCTTTTAACCGGATGTTAGATCAAGTCGAAGTTTTTATATTAATTTTGAGAGTTAAGTTTAACTGACATATCCCTTTTTATCTGATGCTTTTAATTAGATCTAAGTAAGTTTTAATGAAGTTCAGATGCCTGAGTTATTATTGTTTGATTATTCAAAGATTAAATAATAGATATATTCCCTCCACCAGCTGACACTGGAATCTACATTCGATTTTCATGAATTTAAGTTCTTGAAGAGTTCTAATTTTAAGTATCAACATTAGTAAATGAGTTGTCGGTTCCTGTATATGAAGTAGGCTTGATTCTTATATATCTTGGTGGTTTTTATCTCTCCTCTTTTTTACTATTTTATAAGGGATTCATATTATCATATGGACTTAGAATATTAGTTAGTTATGATGATATAGATCTTCTTTCACACTCTGATAACGGGGAATTATCCGTATTTTTATTATAAGGGTTGAAGTATTTTAGGTGATCATTTTTTATTTGAATCTTATGAGTATCTTCTAGTTTTTTATGTATATTAGAATCATAAGTACTAGCATTATCAAAATTAGAGGTATTTAAAATATTTGCATTTGAGAAATTATCTGTTGCACTTATAAGATTCTTCGGAGTACTTCTCAATTGTATTGATTCATTATCTAAATTAAAGGGAGAAGCTCTTTACTCAACTTCTCTAATCTTTGGATAATCATAGGGAGAATGCACCTGCTAGTATTAATAATTTTAAGGTGATTAGCTCTTTCTAGATTCAATTTATCTTACACTTACTTGTCTAGAAGAAGTTTATTCAGGAGTAGCTGATCTTGAAACACTATTAGATCTTGTTTAGCAATTATCTTTGTTAGGCTGAATTTAAGGGATGTAGTTCTAAAGATTCAATTATTTCTATAGGACTCTGCTTGAATTAAATTCACTTTGTACACTTTAACTTGTTGAATGCTGACCATCCATCCTTCCAATTGAAAAAGCTAAATCTTTAAAATTTTCAAAGCAAGACACTTTACTTATGAATGGTGGGTTGAAGATCATAATCTTAGGCAGCAATTTTTTCACAGTTTCTAAGAATTTAGGGCATTCTTTGTTCTCAATAACATAGCATATTGGATTTCCAGCCAAATTTAGCACAACAAGACTTTAGGTAAAAGCTAAGCAAATTATCTCCTCGTAAAGGTCTATCTGATTGAATGAAAGATCAAGCAACTTTAGATTTTCTATTTTTGAAAAATTTTTTGCTGTGATAAATCTATTGTGTGAAACATTCAATTCTTTTAATTTGGATAGGTTACTGCTTATTAGATTAATCTCCTTAAGTTAATTATTAGCTATGTTAAGATATTGCAAACTAATAAAGTTAATGTTTCTTAGTAAGTTAGGATCAATATCCATGCTAGAGAGATTTAATATAACTAGTGACTAAAATGCATTAATTTCTTAGAAATCTTTTAAGTTGTTTAATTTTAATTAGGAAAATGACATGGCTCTGACAGTAGCTAGTGACGAATTATTCATGAGATTTTTTAAAAGCCTAATTATATCAACTTTTGTATTCTAGAGTTAGCCTTAAACTTTGGATAAATCGAATAAGATAGATTCATCCTTTAAAACGATTTTTGTTATATTCCCCTTGATTTCATCCTCTAATTATTTAATTCTCTAGCTTTCCTAATACTTTGACTCAATTTCATTTAGAGCTGTTGAGGATCCTTAAGTGTTGGACTAAATTTAACGAGATGAAATTTGCTAACTCTAAGCCATAAGACTGTCAATTATATCATCCCAATGCACCTAATCGAATTCATTAGTATTTAATGATTTTAAACAGGTAATAACTTGATCAAATGACAAGTATTTTTCTTTTCTGATTTAATTCCCTGCTTTTTTACAACTAGAATCTAAATTAGATCCTAAATAATCTTCAACCTTCTTTAGCGGTATTTTATTAAGATTGAACTCTATTATTTTTACAAAGTTATCTTTTATCACCAATGATATTAACTCACTATCACTTTTACTATCAGAGTCACTTCTTCTGCTATTTTATTCCAATTTAGCTAGCTGGTTGTAAGCTATTTTCAAAAATGAAAACCAATCTGTTCTGGACATGACCATACTTTACTTATCCTCAATATTTTAGACTTACTTCTGCAGACTTCTAAGATTAATCGTTTACTCAAGTGGCATTGATGAATCTGTGCACGATGAGGCTATAGATCTTTAGTTGAAATTAACTTGATCTTTGTGATCGTTAGTATTATGATTCATTGAATTCTACATTGAATTAGACATTGACCTTTAATTATGAAAACTTTGATTGAAAAAAGTTATCTAAGATTAAGGTGCATTGTATATTAGTTTTTTATGATTTTGTTCGCTCGTGTTATTCGATTGACAGAAGTCAGAATTACTCAAAGGATTATAACTTAACCTTTGCGAAGGTATCTGCTCAGATTGCTTATTTGAAGAGTAGAAAAGGTCAGCTTGCATCTGATTCACAGAGCTATTTGACATAACGTTAGAGTTTACTTGCATCAAGTATTGCTAAAACGATTAGTTCATTTTTATTATGCTTTATTAAATTCATAAATTAGTTGTTAACTAACTTCTAAATTTCCCAAGCGAGGGGTTTTGGGGTTTTGGGGTTTTGGGG